TTTTGTTCCAAGCGAGACGGAAGGCCTTCGTCGCTCAGCAGCAACCCCGCGTTGCGTCGTGTCGTCAAATAAAACAAGTGAGGATGGCAGAGTGCATCATCGGGGAAATCGCCCTCAAATGTGGGAAACGGCATCGCACCCGCCGGAAAAAGGTGCGCATGATGTCCCTCCACGTCAGCTGCGCAGCCTGTCAGGTGAAGGAAAATTTGTTAAAAAGGAAGTCAGCGCACTCACCTCCACCCCAGGCAGTTTTATCAGGACGGTCGAATCATCAATTCGTGGGCTCCACACTTTTTGAGGGATATTGTGAACATCTGACACGTCCACGTGCATGCCCACACAATGTCCTACTTCCTTTCCCCTCTGCATGCGCCCGCATCGTCTCTTAAGCCCCATCCAGGACAGATTAGGTAGCGAGTGGCACCTGGTCAGCCAGCGCCGTTCCATTCCTCAAAGCAAAGAAGCTCCCAGCCCCAAAATCACTGGCTATCAATCAGTGATGCCGTTGGCACAAGACCTCCTCTGGCCAACGCCACACACTTGTTCCGGAGTACATGCTATCCCATGCCTCGCTGACGCCACCCTCAGCATCCTATACAAGTACACCGTGCATTCACTCCCAAAATACGGGTGTGGAACACACCTCAAGAAAACTGCACAATGAGCCTGCAAACTGCTCGTTGAAAGTTGTCATTGTGTTGGGTGTCAGGGGTAAAGCAGTCACACGTCGCAGCTCCTCAGGAGATCAAAGAAGATAGCAATCATCATTCAATTGGGATGGGCTTCGCAAACCCCTTGCGACTTTTGTCCGATGGGGTGCTTCAGTGCATATGAAACCCTGTCTGTGGGACGGAATGCCTATGCACTCTAAAAAAGTAAGAACAAACTCACGGGAGAAGAATACATAATACAACGGAAGCAAAATGCCACAAATAAAAAAAGACGGCGGAAAAATTATATGGAGTGGTATATATACAAAAATAAGCACTGATCAATTTATAGATATATCGATATGGGTATGAATATAAAAACGATACTTTATTCTTATTCATTGATGCATCTGTATAGATATGGATATATACCTTCTCTCTCCTACAAATTGACGGATCGCTTGGTTTCTTTATTTATTCAATTGCTATTCTATTGACTGTATATTTATATAGATAGGCATGTAGATATCGGTATGAATATCTATTCAGCGCTTTTGATATATATACTGTTACTATTATTCCTCGTGTCTTCTTAAATAAATACGAAGGCCCACACGCCAGCCACCATCGCAGAGCATGTCCGCCCAACGATCGGAGATTTAAAAGAGAGCCCGGCACCCGAAGTGGGAGCCGCAGCGGAGGCCGTGAAGCACACACCACCGCTACGCACCCGCCCCGGGGATAGCGCGGTGGCTCGATAATCCGTTGCCGCCAAGAATCAATAAAACAACAAATCACAGAACCAACCAAAAATGGACGTTATAAATGAGGAAAGGGAGAGGAGAGCAGCCTGCCAGGAGCAAATACGGCCTGCCGCATCTGCGAGGGGCCTCGTGCCTTCTCGCCGCGCGGAGGTACTGCCGGGCAGAGACCTTCCACTTCAAAGTGGAATCACACCAATATTTCCGTGAAGCACGGCTTCCTCACCTCCCCAATGTCCGCTCCATGCCTTTTTCTGGGTGTCTGCAGAGCCGGGCAGCGGAGTAAATGCCGACCTGCCTCTCCGCACAGTTCCGGTCGGCCGGTTTCCACAATGTCCGGTCGATGCCCGTGGCGTGCCGTGCGGTAGCGGGTCAGTCAGGCATTGCTGTGGCACGGAAACCCGCATGCTGGACGGCGAAACTAAACTGGTGGTGATCCCATCGGGCTGTCGTCACCGGGCAACGTGCGCCTTCTCGGCGGCCTGACCCCTCTGCCGTCGGAAATCGACGACAGCGGA